TGAGAGTCCAGCGACATAGCCATTGCGCCATCTGCTGGTCTTGATGATTAAGTTTTTTAAACCATGTAGCAAGACTGCAGAAAATGGCCAACAGTGACCAATGGGATAACTGTTTCTGAACAAAAGTGGTCATGGCCCTGAGGAAAGATTACCTGGTAGTTTCACCACCAGCAGAACATTATTTAGGTAGCTAGGAATGCTTGCACTTTTTAAGGCTCATGTCATACAAAGGGAAATCACTAAGCGATTATGAAGCTAGGGGGTATGGTTTCTCTACAACACAAGACAGTTGTTGATCTGAGACAGAGCCCACCTTATTTCTCCCCCCGGACCAGCCTTCACATCCGCTGTGGCTAGGAGGCACACATCCAGACGGATCGTTTCAACTCTGTTTTTGCAGTGCGTTGATTAAAATGTTAAGGGGGAGAAAATGAAAACTCTACTACAATTAAGATACATTAAACTTATCCTTTCTTCACCATCTCTTGGGCTTTTCGGTCTTGGTCAAAGAATGGATTATTGTGATAGGAGTTGTTCTTTCACTGTTGTCTGTTCTCTCAGAGTGTTTGTAAATTAATTTGCTGATGATGTGTCCTTAATGTACTGTCCCTGGGCCGTGTACCAAATGAAATCACTTGCACAATAATAGGATTTTAGTTGTCTGGAGGCAGAGGCAGAACAATAAGGAAGAGCATGTGAGCAATCGTCTGTAATTACATTTTAAACATTTATTTAAAGAAATATGTATCAATTGTCCTGCCAGAACTCTTAACGGCAGGGATGGTCATTCTGTTCGGTGACTCCACGTTTGTGGCTTGTTGAAGTTTTACACGATGAAATGCTCTGAGTCTGGCACAGATGTTTTATGTGCCCAAGGGATAGCACGTTAAAGGCAATTTGAATATTCAAGCTAGGCTTAGCCATTTCACCTTTAGAGATAAATTTAGGTTCAGCGTAATTCCACTTTATAATTTATAAGCTGTTCTCAGAGCTCAAGACGCTGTAGTAAAGATATGAAGTCATTTTACTTTTTCTCGTCCATTTCAGCAGCTTTATTTGAGTTACAGGCTGGACTGAGTTTCACTTTTCGGTTGCAAGAGAATGATACACATTTCTACATGTGTACTGGAATGTAACAGGCAAACGTCTTTGGATATTCAGATATACTTTAATCAATTATCTAGATGATTATCTGGATATTTAAAAGACAACATGCATTTTCTTCACCTAACATGTTTAGCGACAAGAAGCTAGAAACATTTTGGGGGGTTGGTATATAGAATCTATACTTTATTTTTTAACTGGACTATTTCAAATATCTTCTTGCAGTCTTTTAACTACATATAGTCAAGTAGGCCTGGGAGCCGGGGATGGGAATGGAAAGTCTTCAAATCAGTGCTTGTGTTTTGCTTCTGTGTGATAGAACTTGCCTATTGGCACCGAAAAGACCTAGGATTTGATTGAGCACTTACTATGTACTAGGCACGGTGCCAGTCACTTTCCATGAATTAGTTCAATGATCTTATAAGCCAGTGTTATTTCTATCCCACTTTACAAATGAGATTTGTAGAGAGTTTACATCATCAGCTCGAGGGCGTATAACTAAGAAGCGGCAGAGTTAGAGTTCAAACCTGCCTGCTTTCTTAGCCACACACCAGGCTTTGAACTCTCTTGGCCTGAAGTTTCCCCATCTGCACACTGTGAAGACAGAATCCGATGATCAATACATCGTTTCTGAATCTTTCAGTTCTAGTTCAATCAGGAACACAAACCAGTTTCTGCCTGCCTTCAAAATCCAGATTCTTAGCCACATACCAGACGGGAAATCATTGAATTCTCTCAGGCTGCAGTTTCCTCATCTGTACCCTGTGAAGACTGAATGGATGATCGAGAAATAGTTTTGGAATTTTTCAGTTTTAGTTCAGCCAGGCAAACAATTGTAGGAACTTATATTTGCCATATATTTTAGCCTAAAAGTGGCAAAACCGAAATTTGATACTAAAAACATTGCCAATAGCTAAACGGTCTGTGGTGAGGTAATTGCCAAACTGATACAAGTGTGAAAGCTTCTCAGTATTTCAACAACCCACGGGGCTGTTTTTTAAGAGCAATAAACTAAGTGGTTAAGTGTGTTGCTCCCAAAGGAGCTGATACTCAAATCTAGACCTCCTGAGAGTGCATCTGTTTTTCTCAAGGGTCTGATATATTAGTATCTTCGACTTGGTTGGATATGACCAGACAGATCTTTATGAATCTTGGAATCCTTTAGTATATGTTTTTTTGGTCTTAATCTGTGAGAAACAGAACATTAAGTTTATCTGGCATTTGGTTCTCCAAGCTGCTACCTGCCCTCTCCTGTATCATTCATTAAAAATTTATAATTGGTCATAAAGGCTGTTGATGTTGCATTACTTAGGAAGATAAAGTGAGCAGATATTTTTTAAAAATACATATAAAAATATAATGTTTACCTGTCATAAAGTTAATCTTATGTACAAGACTTTCATCAGTCTCTCCCATGTAATCATAATTCATTGGACCTTATGTAAGAAACAGTGATCTTCCCAGCTATAATGCTAATAACAGCCATTGAGGCTTCTTTTATTTCTTTTTTTTTTTAAGAGAGATTTTTGCCAGAGGGCACATGAGCTTTCTAGAGAGACAGAGAGACAGAAAGCAAGAAATTACCCCTGGTAGGGGTGGGGGATGGCCATGCCATAATCCCTTCTCCTCCGTTTTCCTCTTGGGAGAGGAGGGCATGGGCACACACGCACCCTGTGTGAGTTTAAGCCACTGGAACCGGACTTGAACCGCAGTTGGCTACGTGGGAGTCCAGCAATGTAACCATTACGCCATCTGCTGACCCTTCTTGATGCTTTTTAATGTAACCCTAGGAATTGGTGTTGAAGAATGACTTCGTTCTTCACTATGTAGTTAAAATGCAGTCTCTTCGTGCATGACACTTAAGCGACTAAGCCAATTTAGGGAAGCAATAGCAGCAACGAAAATTAATCCAGCAATTACTTGCCTTCTGATAATGAGACAATCTGTTGATTGATTGAATGTTCTGTTTTCAACTGGCTGTGTGGTAGCACTGTTACACCCCTTGCCCCACTCTGTAGCATACAGGCTGCAAAATGTGATCCCAGAGTGGCAGCATCAGCAGCATCTGGAAATTTGTTAGTGTTGCGAGTTCTCTGCCCTGAATTAGAAAGTCTGAGGGTGGGGCCCGACTATTTGCGTTTTAACAAACTCTACAGGTGACCCTGATGCTCACTAACATTTGAGACCCACTATTACATCAATTAAACAATTTAGAAAGAAGTAAAATTAATTGTCACATGGGATAACCCGAAGCTTCTTTTAATTATTTGATAAAATCCTTTTAAAATATGCCTAACAAAATGCAAGTTCGGTTTTACCGAAAACAACCAACCAAACAAAAAACCTTGAGGAAACTGTGTTCAGTGGTCCTTCCTTTATTTTCTATGTAATCAAATGTGTTCTCTTTTTCCTCCCTCTGACATTTCGAAATTACTGAAAATTTTATGTAAGCTGAGTTTTGTTTTTTGAATGCAAAGATTGTGTATGTATAGTAGCAACTGTTGTGTTTGCTTCGATTGTGAATGATCATTTTATATATTTATGCATTACATAATAGCACTGCATATCTCTTTTTGGTTCAGATAAATCAGTGGTTTAAAATTCTTGATATTTCTAATGAAACATACCAATTCTAGCTTAAGGCTCTCATGAGTTTCTAATCCACAAGGACGCCACATGATCCACAAAAATTTGGAAGGCTTGAGTTGTGACTTTATAGCTTTTCTTATTGGTTCAGGAAAGTCATCCAGCTACAAAAACCTGCAGAAAGCTTTAGACAGATGCTACTGAGTTGGAGGAAAAAACTAGAAAAAGCAGGTTCTTGCGGTGCACATTTATAATATTTAAGCTCTTAAGAGTTTAGAGGAAAATCACCACATTTCTTACTGTAAATTTGTTTCACCTAGATAATAAGGCCATTCATTTTTTTAATTAAATGATTTTAACACAAAGAAGTATTTGAGAGTGCGGTTCAAGGGCAAAATAAATACTGTTTAAATATGAACTTTCTTCCTGGTCTGGCCCGGTGCAGTTGAATGAGTTCTGAATTGGACTCAATTTTGCTTTTTGAATTCATTCAATGCTTTCTTTCACTAGGAAGCTGCTGTAGTTTGCTTTCAGGTTGGACTTGTGTCCTTCCTGTGGTATGAGTGCCACCTACAGGAGATCCTAGGAACTCCCTTTAAACCACACCATGTCTTTTCTGAAAAATCTTTTTGGACACTGTTCTTCCTCGTACAAACCAGAATCTTCCATGGCAGTAGCATTTTAATGAAGGAAACAAAGGTCTTCATTTTCAGATATTATTCCAAGGTCAAATTTTCTAGACAGAACATTACATAAATCTCTCATTTGTGTTATGAGTAGCCGCTATTAAGTCATTTATTAGGACGGTGCTCCACCATCCTAACAGTTTCGTCTGTAGATACACATTCATTTCATTAAAATGTAATTGACTTGCCAACTATTTTTAGGCTGATTTGATTAACTCTGCAACATTAAATGTCCTCTGTGTATGAGGCAGTTTAACTAAAAAAAAAATGTTACTATTTCCCATTTTATTCTGTGAATCAATTTCAAATTTGGGTGTGTTCTGACATTAAATGGCGTGAAATTCAATAGAGTATTTGTATTTGATTTCTGAGGGGCCACAGGAGGAAATCAACATAAATCTCCACCCTAGAACATCTACATCACATCTGAGGATGGCATGTTCTTGCCTACAGGCTTTTTAATCATAGGCTAGTTGAAGCTGGTTGTATCACCATATTGCTTAGACAAGACAGGGCACCCATTTCTGGGGTCACCAATTTATTTTTACAAATAGAATTTATATGATTAAGTATTCTTTTCAGCAAATGAAATCTAACTTTTCTTCCACTATTTTACTTGTTTAGCTTATCCAACAAAAGTATTAACATATACATTAACAACGTCGAAGGTAGCCTACTTTAAGAGAAAATATGCAGAAGAAGAAGATTTACATCAAGATTACCATGGGTATTTTCCAAAAGTAAGAGTTTGCTAATTACTTTTTCTTTCTTTCTATCTATCTATCTATCTTTTTTTTTTTTTTTTTAAATTGTGCTATGGGGCATGTGTGGTCACGAGACAGAGACAGACAAATAGAGACAGAGAAGTGAGAAGCACCCTTCGGGGCAAATGGTCACACAGCAATCCTTTCTCCTTCATTCCCTTTCAGGATTTTGGGCACGCAAGCTCACAACATATCTGATTTGATTTCAAGCTACTGTGTTGGGGACTCAAACTGCTCAGTGGGTGAAGTGGGATCCGGCCGCCTTAAACACCATGTCATTGGCTGGGCCTATTTGTTCATTTTATAAATGTTGTCCATGGCATAAAGTTCCACTTTCATTTTCTGCACTGTAGATTTAATGATTATGTTTGCTTTCCAGCACCTGATATTACCTGAGGACAGGACTTGCATTCTCAAACTTTCTCTGGAGAAGCTCAGGTTTCTTGAAGACCCAGAAACCTACCTAAGAAGGTCTGTGTTAATTAACAATTTGCTGCGGAAGATCCATCTAGAGACGGAGAAAGAGAGCTATGAATACTTTAAAGAAGCTCCCTGTTATAAGACTGGTTATTCGGATACAAGAAAACGGCTGAAGTTTATGGTACAGGAATGCTGTTCTCAGTCTCTGTATTACGAAGAGCTGCATTCGTATCATATTGTGCCTTACACTTCGGAGAATGCCATTTATGGGATGGGCTACAGTAGCAGCCACTTGGAGCAAAATTCGCAGTTGCTTATTTACAAAATGAATTAAAGTAAACTGTTAAGTCCATTGATACTTTGTTTCTAAATGCCTGAACCGTTTATAGTGAAGATGTTAATTTAAGGCACTAATTGCCCGTGCACTTGATAATCAAAGATGAGATGCATGCTGACCTGATTGGAGAGAACCATGGTTGTTACTCAGCAGTCCTTATTACCATCAAGTGGAATTGAAAATATGTCCACCTAGCATAAAGCAGTGAATTAGTGCTTCAGCGGCAAGCAATGATTTCTTCTTTCCTTTTTTTTTTTTAAATCAGGTTTTGTAGAGGGATTAGAACCTTTAAGCCTCCATTTTGAAATTCTGACATTCTTAGTGAAAAGTAATTAACAGATTAAATAGAAACTGTTGTGTCCCTGAAGATTAAGAGTACAACAAATTTAATTTTCTGTAAATGAGGAGAAGGAGGGTTGATTCTTTCTAAAATGTTTTGGCTTGCCAAGCATCGTGCCAAATAACTGTTGACGTCATTCTCCTTTTACCATTAGTTTCAATTCCAAATGGGCCAAACATACACTGCAATTTAACTGCTGAAAGTAACAACCAGATTACTCCAAAGTGATCCATTTTATTCTTTTTCATTTCTTTTCTTTTTGTGGTCTTGACAGGCTTTTCTTTTTAAACATGAAACTTATTAAAATAGCCTTGCAGATGGGCTTATCTCTAAGTTCCAGGGGTTGATTAAAAATTTTAGTGGGCATTTAGTTAAGAGTTCAAATTTTATTTATAGTATCATTTTTTTTAATAGGCCATGAAGCTCAGGAAAAGGATAGGCAGGTAAATTTTTAAAAAATAAATTGGTAATTTGAAAATCCATACCTGCAAAAATTGGTGAAAACAGAAAGTCTACAGGATGTTATTTCTTCAACTGGCTAAAAGTGCATTTAAAGCTACCTTTATGAAACTTTGCACTGAATTTTGTATAATGGTCAATCATTCACTATTTGATAAATTTTGTTGCAGAATGCCTTTAGTGATGAAGTTTAGATAAGTCCCTATATTTTGCAGCTTGAAAGATAATTCTTTAACAGGTTGGATAGATTCATAAAATTGTTTGAAGTGGTTCATAAGTTCTTTGAGGTTTGAATGAGATGTCTAATTTCAACGTCTGGAGTTTTGTTGGATGGAACGTATCGTTTGAAGAATTGTCATTAACTGATAAAAACAGATTGGAAAAACTAGGTGCCAAAGGAGTATTTAAGAGAATACCAAAGACTCAAAGATGAGTGACAGGAGGACTCTAATCATGAAGGTGAAAATCTACAGATTGCACAGGAGATAGAAGAACATCACTGAGGGTTTCGGAATAATTTTGCTTCCTGCTGTGCTATCATAGCACTTTATACATAGTGATGATAATCAAGGGCACTGCTTTAAATGAAAATACTACTGGCCTTGAGTAGTCATATACCTTTGCAAATTCATGTATGGTGACCTACCAACATAGAATCTTCTCTAGTTGAGGGCTGACTTGTAACCAAGAAAGCATCATTGTATGGGAGAGAATTTTGTTTTTCGTTTTGATTCAATACTTGGTCCCTCCAAGGAATCATTGAGGTGATTAACATGAATGCATTTGGTAAAATAATATTGGTGCCGTAATTAGCCTGTATTGTTGAAGACCACATAGATATATAACTGACAAAAGTATCAATCTTCTATTTCATTGTTCAATCAAAAATTTATAAAAAAAAAACTAGAAGAAGCTGAAAAATTGTAATCGAGCTTAATCTTCAAAGGCTATGTAGTATGAATGGTAAGATAGCTTTGAAATCCAGATAGAAATGTTTTAAAAATAATTTAAGGGCAAAATTTGGAACTGAGTTTCAAACATTTTATTTCACTTCTTGTAAGAGATCTGATTTCTCAGAATGATTCTTTAAAGATATAGATTTCTTAAACAATGGGGATATTAATGGAAAGCCTCCTAATTTGCTAGAATAATTCTACAATCATATAATTTAAAAAATAGAATAGTTCTTTAATGCTTTAAAATTTTTTACTGTAACTGACTTTACTTGGTTTAGGACAGTGTCTATAGGAAAAAGACACCAGTGCTAATAGATATGATTTACAAAATTACTATATAATTGAATTGGTTGAGGGTAGAAATATACATATTGTGAAGTAGAAAAGAGAGAGAAAAAATGATCAAGAAAGGTGAAATTGAAATCTTATTGTATGTCAAAATCTTAAAGTAAGAACTCTTTGGAAATGAACCAGTAATGAATTAAATCTGTTTGTTTCTGTTTTTTCTTTTTATGACATCAGTAACCAGCTTCTCTGATCTATTTGTCATGTGTCTTAGAAACCAGCGGTGTTTGTGAATATGCTTTTTCTTTAAAAATATGTGTTGATTTCAAATCAAGTTATTAAAAAAAATCTTTTAGGGCATTTCAATTCTTTTTCAATAAACAACTCATAGATAAGGAGTTGACTAATGTTATCTTGATTTTGAAGAGATAATTCATTTTTGTTTAAATTATGCAAACTTCTCTGAGTTAACCAGTAGATTGCTGTCATTTTACCATGGCATACAGATATACAGGGAGGTTCTACATAGGTTGCTCGCGTCCCAGACCCGGTGGCTTAAAATTCACGTCCGGCTTGTGTGCGTGCGTGCCCAAGATCCTGAGAGGAGAGTGGAGGACAAACAATTGCGGGGGTGATTTCTCGCTTTCTGTCTCTATGTTTCTCTCTGTCTGTCTGGCGAGCACAAGCGCCCTATAATTAAAAAAAAAAAAATAGAGAAGTCAGTTTCAACTTTTAGACCCTGGACATCCTGTTTCTGATGACAAGAGCTATCCTTAAGATAAGGAAGATGAAATGGAAAATCTGAGTGCCTTTGGTAGTGTTGATCACTTTTGTGGATGCCCAACCAGCCTAAAGCCCTAGTAAAGAAGAATAACATATAAAAGGGAGTAGAGGGAACATGAAGACAAGAAGAAAAGGGGCAGAGAAGCAGAACTAAGAAGTGAAAGAGAAACTTAATTTATATGAGGGGGATTGCTTGCTTGCTATACTTGGTTTGTTTCCCTGTTTCAGGTATATATGCAAAGATGTGATATCTGCAAAGTATTTATCTTTTCTTTCATTCACTGATGATGCATGAGACTAGATTCTATTCAGCACATATACTATCAGAAATGTAGTGTTTCTGAGAACTATCCCTGAAGTGAAGCTTTCTGGGTAGATGAGCAAAGAAAAAAAAAATACAGCCATTAAGTTAGGGGAAAGACTAAATGGTGAGCCTCGAACACATTATCTGACTTTAATGAGCATCCCAAGATTTAACAAATTCAGTGTTAGAGGACTTAGAAATGAGTGTGGTTCACCACTGTTAACAACTATTGTGATCCAAGCACCATGCCAGCACAGGGAATTCACAAGTGAATGATGTGCAGCCCCTTTGCTCAAGCACTTCCCTGGTAAGGATGAAAATGAGATGGTTTCATTGTGTTTTAAAAGGTAAGAGCTATTTACTGGGAGCAGCAATTGCATTTCTCTTTTCCAAACTGGGATGGTGAGGAAGTGTGTGTCTCCAAAAGTTTTGGCAGGTGAGATGATGCACTGGGAGAAGAGAAGGTCTTCTGACCTAGATCTCAGAGTAGAAGGAGGGGGGGGTATAGTTTGCTTTACACTTATTTTGTACTTGGAAGCATAAAGATAGCCACTATTGTGACTTCAGGAAATGTAGTTGGCCTTAGCTCATTTCTGGACATCCTAGAGTAGGTGGTAGGAAAGTCAAATAAATGCAAGTATGGAACAACTCCTTCCCCCTCAGCTCTCCAGCTCCCATGTTCTTTCACAGGGGAAATCAGGGTAATGTTAAGTTCAAGGAAAGCCTTGAAGAAGAAATGGAATTGATAAATCTCAGACTGAGAGTTCCGTATGTGCAAGGTCAGAAGTGCAACTTTCTTGAATTTGCTTTGATCAATTGTCTGAGTGAACCCTGAGTTCTTAACAAGTCACTGGAGCCATCTTCCCTCCCTCCCACTGACTTCCTTTCTGAATCACAGCTGAATTCCAAGTCTTTGCAGCCCTCTGCAAGTGGAAGTTGTAGTTCTGTTCTTCAGCCCCACTTTGGCCTCTAGCCCTGATATTTGTTGAAAGAGACTTAGAAGGAAGCAACAATTTGCGGTACTGGCTAAATTCCTTTGGAAAGAATTTTGGGATCGAACTAGTATTCATTACAGTCACTGGTCATTACTGGCTAGACACAATTCTGTTTTTTTTTTTAATTTTTTGAGAGATTTTTGCTATAGGGCATGTGCACTCCACTCACTGGAGAGTGGGAGAGAGACAGAAAGTGAGATAACATACGTGGGGGAGGGGCGGGGGTGGCCACACCACAATCCCTTGTCCTACAATTCTTCTCTGGGGATCTTGGGCACACACACACACATGTGTCCGGCATGAGTTTAAGCTACTGGGTCTGGGACTTGAATCGCAGTTGACTACATGGGAGTCCAGTGACATAGCCATTACACTAACTGCTGGTCCTGACACAATTCTTTTTTAAATTAATACTATACTTAATTGTTTACTAAAATAATTTTCATGTTTCTAGAATTCACTGTAATAGTTAACAGTTACATGTTTTCCTAAAGAAAATACCTTAGGTTGGAAACAAAGAAGATTGTGTATAATTAATTCAAATCATTCATGAATACTTACGTAATACATGACATTTTAATTCACATAGTCTTGTTCTCATACATCATTATTGTATTTGGGCAACATGATAAATATTAAAATTTTTTATTCTTTACTAAGTGGACCATGTCTGAAAGTTGTTACCTTTCTGGTTAAATATTTTTTGGCAAAATTTCTACACTAAACTATTTCTATCTT